ACTTTTTTTTCTATACCAGATCATTGCTTTCTTTATTTTTTATTTTTTTATTTCCAAAATACATGATTTACCAAAAAAAATAGCCGAGCAAAGCTCGGTCCTCCAGGTACTATTATTATATTTATGCGTTTAGTCTGGCGAGTGAGGTATCCGAAGTACACCGTTTCAAAGGTTTGCAAAGCATTTGCAACCTCACAGGCACTGTAAATGTAAGGCAGTGTTGTAATAATAATTTAACCTATAACGCCTCACGTACTGTAGCTGTATCTAACGAAGTTGAGATATCAAATCGCGTCAATTATGTACGACAGTCAACCTGATACATCCAAGCGGTTCAGTTGAGCAGTTTGCATTGCTAATCGAGCATCGCAACTTGGTAACTTAAGCCTAATTAAATGAGGAAGACATCAATGCACAGATAAAACAAGCTCACGTTACTTATTTTGATTTAGAAGAAAAGACAAAGTTATATGCTATGCTGTTAGCATAAATTTAAGTAATTTGAAATAAGTAAGGAAAACTGTTTTTGTGCACGTGATTCGGAACTTGCAGTTGCCTGAACAAATAGTACTAGATAACTGATAAAAACACTTGAATATACTTTTCTATTCTAAACACTAAAAAACACTATGTTCATCACACAATATTTTTCGAGTAGTATGGATCGAACCCACACCCTCTGGCGCAGAAGGCAGGTACACCACCCACTACGCCATTCGGGTCGTCGTACCGATACCACAGTAAGCAGCTGTTATTTTAATAAATAAGTTATAATTTATCGAAGAAGAATTAAAGTTTTACTCATCTCAAGTTTATTCCAATGATATGAGTTAAGGTGATTTGTTTACTCGTGCCGTTGGATTGAATGTTCTTGACCCAATTCGCTTTATGTACGTAATAATGTAATTGTATAAATCCGTTATTTATACCATTAATCCTCTTCGCAATTTACATATAGCACTAAAGTCTGCCCGGTTTCGCACGGATACAGATAAAATTGCATAGAGTAATCGTGTAATTTGTAATAGGTACATAACTTTTATAAAGATAATTTAGCAAGTATAATATTTTATTCTGGAGACTATGTTGACATAATTAGATGCTGTTTTTCAACCGAAAATATTTTAGCTTCTCCCGGCTTGATACACAGTACACTAGTTTTTTTTACATAAATAAAATGTAGATTAAATATATAAATAATACTAGCTGTCGCGGCAAACATTGTTCTGCCATATAAATTATTTCTATGGAATTTGTAGGGTAGAAAAAACTGTTTAGGGTGGACGACCCTTACCAGAGGATGAAAAATAGATGTCCGATTCTCCACCCTGGCCGATATGCACAGAAAATTTCACGAAAATTGGTCGAGCCGTTTCGGAGGAGTTCAGTTACAAACACCGTGACACGAGAATTTTATATATCTCTAATAGTCTTTAATAATAACTTAAATCATAAGCGTAAAGATAAATTCATTTTCGGTTAAAAATTTTCATATACAGACAAACATATAAAACTTTCCTTGAGCATAAGTGCATTTTATTTATTTTATCATATGTTTATTGCCTTTACTCCATTACATCGCCAAAATCTTGACACGGTCAACGTAATTAAAGTCATGAATATTAATTAATGTTGATTCAATAAAACTAAAAAATATTATTGAAATATGAGTTGGATTCGTCGTCAACTTCAATTCAGAAGAAGTATGTGTAATGTTTGATGTATTTTAAACGAATCGAAGCCTCATTTCCTATCCCGAACAAAGATACTAGACCAGCTATTTAGCTTTAAATTAGACTAGCGACCTGCCCGCCTTCGCACGGGTGCAATGCTGATTTCGATATCGCATTAGAAACCACTAAAATTATAAGTGTTTCTCTACTGCATTATGCATGATTTAACATATAACCTTCCTCTTGAATCACTCTATCTATTAAAGAAAACCGCATCAACATCCGTTGCGTACTTTTAAAGATCTAAGCATATATAGATTCAGACACACAGCGGGATGACTTTGTCTCATACTATGTAGTGGATTTTTAATGTCAAACAATAATTGATTGGGTTGACGTCAGGCGGCCAGTCGTAAAAGGCCTAGCCACAAGTTGTTCTCACTTAGATGGAATAAGGCCAGGAGAAAGAAAGAAAAAGAAAAAGAATGACCAATGAATGATACATGCTTCTGATATACCAGTGATAGAAATCTATAATCTAATCTAGTCTTATCCACCGCAATCAAAATACGAAAGCTTCTTCTTTCTCCTGGCTTCATCACTCGTATATCACTCCATAAGTGAGGACGGAACAACATATCCTTTCGTTCTACTTTCCTCTGTCGGCCGGTCATCTCAATACTCCCCTTTTTCACCGGCATACCGTTCTTAACACAGTCCATCCAAATCTTTCTAGGTGTTCCTCTAGCTTTACTTGTGTAATTCATGTTCATTTTAATCACTCTTCTAGCCACATGACTTTGAATGAATGAATGAATGAATACTTACAAAATTAACAATAGACAAACAATTTAATGGAATGCACAATTTGGCGGCCTTAGCGCTTCATAGCGTTCTCTTCCAGGCAACCAATGGCGTAAAGGAATGTTTACTGACTTTCATCCCTTCTCATCCCCTTGTCCATACCATGTCAACACCGCTCATTATTTTCTCAGTCACTACAACACTTTCAAGCTGTCGGTGTCTCTAACATACTCAGTAATCACAACTGTGGTGAGCCCACGCAACAGTCCTCGCTGTTGCACGAATGGGCAGGTCCGTCCGGGTAAGTACCACGACCTCACAGAAGACCGGCGTGAAGTGGAAGTTTTATACTTCTGCGTTTCTGGTGAGTGAGCTAGCCGGGGCCTACTTTATTAAAAGGTGGCAATGCATCTGCAACCCTATGAGTTGCAAATGTTAATGGGCAGCGGTTATTACTTAACAACAGGTGAACGGACAGATCGTTAGCCACCATTTCACAAAAAAAAGATATGAAAATATTTGTCATTAATTTCAAAACATCACTTTTACTAACGTGTCTTCTATTGCACCGTGAAGAATTTTAAGACGTCTCCAGATCGAAATACATAAACTACTGTTCCATGAATGGGCTGGCTCTTCAGACCAGTACCACGGCTTTACAGAAGAACAGAGAGAAGTGAAAGTATTACACTATTGAGTGAGGTCATTAAGTAGAGTAAGAGTTGCCTAGCGAGCTGGCGTTTCACCCGATGTTCAGTGATTATCGCCGCCCATGGGCATCTACAACACCTGATAAGTTTTAGATGTTGCAGAATGCAGATTACTCACGAGACGAAACGCGACAAAACGATAGAACATCAGCTTTGTCATTTGACAGTAATATCGAAATATTAAAAACCCGTACGCGCTTCAAAACGTTATCCATTGACCAATGAAATTGATTTGTCGACGATGAAAACGTTTATTTTTGTTTCAACAAACGATTATGTACAAAATATATAAAACATTAACATTGTGCTGTATGTATAGGTATAAAAAAGTTCTAAAATTTTCGCTCTAAGTTGCGTGAGCCGTCTCTACATTGCGTAATGCTTGTTCGCTGGGAGCTTTTGCTGCTTGAGAGATAAAAACTACCTTGCGGGACCCGATAATTGGACGGAACATGTTCTTGAACTTGAACAGCTTCATTCATCTGTTAATCAACTCCACTCAGTTATTACGACATTTAACTGTGACCATACGTAATTAGGAACCACTTTAAAACCATTAAAACAACGTTAACAACAACTTTGTAAATTGACAAGACAATCAAGGGACCGTTTAACTTTTATCATAAATCGAAGATTAGAAAGAGATTCTTCTGTGGTAGACGACATACAAAGGAGTTCCTGTTACACGGATAGACCAGCTCTATCCGAAGAGAAAGAGCAGAGTTCCTCCAAAATATGGGTTCAGATCGGTTTTGAAATCAAGAATGAATGAAATAAATGAATGTATAACTCAATGTATAACTCCTCTTTCGAGTGGAATGGTATATACTGTTTACATGTTTGTTACATTTGTCAAAAATTGTCCCGTTGAGTTTCTTCCGGTTTCTTCTCAGGTGAGTGGCTTTTTTTCCGAACCGGTAGTACAGTTTGACAATCAACACGTTTTAATGCTTCTATATTTAATGCGTCTATGCTGAATGAAGAAAATATGTCAATCAACACGTTTTAATGCTTCTATATTTAACGTGTCTATGCTGAATGAAGATATTTGAATTTAAAGGACATATTTCCTGCATTACAAACAACGAAACATTCCCGAGCGCTAAATCGCCGCGAATATGACACCGAAAGTGTTTACGTTGCGATGATAGTTTGTAAACATCACGGCACTCGATGAATGTGTGACGGGCGACATTGAAATTTCACTGCTTGGCCACGCGTGACCAAACATTTTATTTACGTTACACTATCGCGTCTTGTAAACAGCGAGCCTGTCGTGGAATTTTCGACGGGTGCAGGAGCAAGGTTAAGACGTGTGTCCACTACGGGATGTGATATATCTCGATATAAACTAATATCACTCACTTATGGAACTGATAGTGACTTAAGTATATTAAAAGCAGTCGAAGAAATTATATTTTACGTGGCCTCGTGGTATGGGCCATTGTTTACAAAAAATGATTATATTTTAGACACAGAGTGTTTGTCGCCATGAATGAGAGGTCGATATGAATCATTTTGTTAACGTTTTTTGGCTTGGTTTTTAACGACCGGCTGCATGCCTGACAGCAATTCTTATTGGGTCATAGAAACACTTCTCCTGTGTGGGAATCGAACCCATGTCCCCTTGGCCCAAGTCCATAGCTTAGCAACTGCGCTGACGAGATATTTGAATATTATTCTTTTGAATAACTTCACGGATTCTCTTTAGAAGAAGTCAGCGACTAAAAGATAGATAATTTTTTACATGACAGCAGTAAAATAACTATCAATCTGCAGCGCTAAGACATGAACGAAATGCCGTACATGGAAAATGGCAATTTTCAACTTCAGCCGCCTGTTATTCAATGATGCCAACAATGTCTTTTCGTGTGAGTTGATGCAGAAAGTGCGTATAGTTGCGGTATACTCGCAAGTGAGGTCCACAATATTCTTTTGGTAAATAAGTTAAGAACCACCGTAGAGTCCGTCGACATGTTGGCAAGATCGCAAACAGCATATCATCGCTATACAGTATCACATCTAATGGTGTACGCGGGCCTAACAGCGGGTGGGGTGGGTGTCGGCACACAGTGCACCCTGCACCGGTGCGAGTGCGAGCAGAGGGGGGCAGCAGCGGCCAGTCGAGCCGCGTCCGCCGAACAGAGCGGTCGTGTCGCTGCAAACGCGCCCGCACGTACGGGAACCGGTCGACGATGGCGGCCCACGGCGCTCGCGCCGCGCTATGTTGAAGCATGCGCAGCGGCCGCCGGCGGCGAACGATGCCGACCAACGCTACCAGAACATGCCGCGGCGGCCGCACCACCACCTGCCCCTTAACGTGTCCACGCTCGACTCGTCCAAGCACTCTGTGGGCGGGACCTCTGCGAGCGTCAGCCCCGGCGCCCAGCCCGCACCGGTGCAGGCGCCGGCCGTGCCGAAGATAGCCAACGGGAACCCCACCGGTTTGCAGCTGAGGCCGATACCGCTGCGCAGCCGCAGCGCTCGCGCCGCTACTGAGGAGGCTCTGACGTCACTCGCCCTCCTCTGCCTCGTCAGCCTCCTGCTGGCGCTACTCGCGCTGCTCTTCCTGCTGAAGATATCCGCCCCGGCACCGGCGCCCCCGACGAGTTCGCCGTTGTGTACGAAGTGACGCTAGCGCTGTGCGCCCTGACGCTCTCGCTCAACCTGTGCTGTTTGCTCGTGTGCGCGATCCAGTTCCTGTTCGCGGTGAAGCTGGTACACTCGCCGTCAGCGCCGAACGGCCGGTGAGTGCCCATCAATCAGCCCCCCGCCCGTCCGTCGAGAATGCCGCGGCGGGCAACCGGTTGTTCCGATTACGCCGCGCTCGCCGCGAATTTCGAACGTTCGCGCGGGCCGCGACTTGTTGCGACAAGTGTTGTGGTCCGCATGGTGTAAGATGTAATAAATAATTGCACCTGACTGTACTTTATGAGATAAGGTGCCAATAGAAGAGGCGGTTCCCCCGACGTAGGCGTAGAGAAACAGTTGCTATTGCAATAAAGAGAGTGCGAGAGTTCATATCACTCACCAGACAAAAAGATTACCTACACCAAATTGTAGAGTAATTAACGCGTTAACGGCATTTTCTTAAGAAAGCAAATCGGAGATTCAATCAGTCGGTTCCGTCGCGGTAAATCCATCAGACCAGCATATAAGGCGCAACTGATGACTATTAGCTAAACAAACGTCTAAACGCCGCATTTATTCCACGTTCCTCCACCCCTGATCAGTTCTAAGAGCTATATTATCACGTCACGTTTGCGTTGTGTACAGCAGGCAGGTGCTAACGGTCGACGTTGGCGGTTATTTGTGAATGGCGCGATAAAAACAGCGCCCGCGCCCAACCGTTGATAAGCCCCTCGCACGCGCCATCGTAATATTCTATATATAATATCTGTATTTCTAACTTTTTGTCATCTCATCTTTAACAACGTACCATTAGGGTGCGAAAGGGTGGTAGTAGGACGGTTTTTTTCCGCAATACAGTGGTTATGATACTGAACTTCCGCACTCTATTCCGACTCCGTGGTTATGCATTTCCTATAACGGCGGTAGTTGATTTTGACAGTTATTTATTCTTTATTCTTTATTGTACACAGAGTATAAGTGAAAACAAAGTTACAAAAAAATGTACAAACGCGAGCTTAACCCTAAAAAGAGTTTTCTTCCAGCAAACCCTGACATAAGATTGATGAGAAACAAATCATTATATTATGATAGGTAGGTGTGTAAAACTAGATATACTTATACTCTTAACTCAAAATTTATAAAGAAGAGAAAAGTAAAATAGAAGTAAACAAAATCATAAAACGTATAATACAATATTGTAACTTATTCATTCAAATTTTAATCGAACCTAAAATACAGTAACAAAATTACAATGGCGTTGTGTCTCTAAAATTATAAAAATAAAAATAATTTATTTATTGTTTGCCTCGTAAACGTTGAGTAATACAACGATTTCGTGAAGTGAAACTGAACACCTGCTCAAGCCACCCAACTGGGTGAATGCTTTTTTTTAATTTGATTTGATTCCGAACGCAGTAGTCTATTTCACCCTCGTCTAAACAATCTACGTATATGCGTTTTTTACCCGAGTGCATTGAATACTCTATATGGGGCGTAACAAAGACTACTCAGGTAAGTGGTTCAGGCTAAATTAGGGACCACTACCACATACTATTTCCTGTTTTAAGTCAACATTAGTTCTGTTCTAAATACAATTGAGGAACAAGTAATTTGTAACCATTGGTAAAATGAAACCGCTAAACGTGCCACCTTCTCATACAAAACAAAACAATCGCACCGAAACTGAGCCACTCAAATTACGGCAATTATTGTAATTAATTAGTCTGCTATCTCTTTCTGGATCATACGTTCTATATCATCTGTCACATTCACTTATATATGTCATATATCGATAAAAAGCAGAAAAATTTTTAAAAGCCACGCAGTATGGACATGCGTCATCTTTATAAGAACATCATTGCCTACACTGCATACTGAGATTATGCAAGATCTACCTACGGTATTAAAATGTCCACATCCAAAAGCAAAAAAAGTTCCAAGTTCGTTTGATTACGCAAGAAACATCGATTGGAGTAGGTTCATGTGAAAAATAAAAACGTAACGTAAGTTTACGCAATATATTTATGTCACAGATAAAAAACCTTGTGCCCTGTTTGCTTTGTAAAATTGTAAAGTGATCCTAAACATAGAAAAGTGACATAACAAGAAACGAACTATTTATTATTCTTTTTATTTATTTTTCACTTATATAGAAATTAATATCTATTGTAATGTATCTAAATATAGTGTCAAAATCTTTTAATAAAAAGCTAACAAAAAGAATGTAATATGAGATAACGGTGGACATGTTTATAATCGTAAAACGGTTTTTAGGTCAAGAATTTATAACAAAAACGTCGAAGAACTTGCTATACTTAATTTGCTATGGTATTTTATTTTTTTAAGACCCATTGATATAAAATAATATTTTAGTTTGTGGTGACTTATGGGCGATAAAGTATTTGTTTCGCCCACGTAAGTCGTTATGAGAGTTAAGTGAGTACATATTTGACCTCATTTAAAATTAGAAATGAAACTTGTTTTATTTAAATGAAAATGAATACTAGGAACATTTATATTTTAAACGTCTTAGTTTTTAATTTAGATAATCATTAGTTTATCGCGAAATGTAGTTATCGATTACTTATTTATATTTTGTCGGCTCAAAATAATGCTAATATGTTAATGTCTTTTGTGATTAAAATTTTCGAGCCGATATTAATATGGGTTTTTCATGCTATTTAATAATTTTACGGTTAGTTGGACATATTTATTTGATAATGAGTATATCAGATGAGAGCATCATTATTTTTTTATTTGTAAATTTGGTCAAAACAGCAACTCTAACCTTAAAAAGGCAGCTCTGACACACAGCAACATAGAAACGGGGCATTAAAGTTCATTGCTATTGGCAAGCTACACACGGACAGATAAAATAGCGGTGTCCGCCGCCTTCCGCGTTCGTGGCTATAGGTATTTGCGTTCGCATGCCGCCGAGAGCACTGGACCAGTTCAAAGACACCGGCCTCCGACGACCTGGAATTTCACAGCCGCCATTCTGGTCTATCATTTCTTAATGTGAGCGCGCGGAGGCATTCGCGAGAATGTAGCCAATACTGAGTTGATGCGTCTACCAACTGGGATCATGTCACCATTCACCACTATCAGAATTGTTGAAAAAGTTCGTGATAAGATAACATACAACCAACTTAAAACGCGATAGAACATAAATATATTTAACGTAGCCTAAATATATGTACATTTTATTAAATTGGAAGTCCGGAATAGCACTGCATAGTATTCGTAACGTTTGGAATTATAACCAAGAGTAAAATCCGTAATATACTTAAAATCCGTAGAAGTTTTGACTTTACTCGCTTAGATTAGAGAAATCATCATAAAGAAGGCTTTTCGTACATTTCATCCCTAAAGAGTTGCCCAGAGTTTCTTTTGACAGTTTTTAAGGACTGTTTTGTTTCAAAACTTTCCTTGGTGTAAACAGCACACACAATAATTTCTTAAGCAATTCTTGTATTCAATTGCAACCTCTCTTCCTTTCCATAAAATAGTGCAATGAGTGAGGGTATTTAATCGTGGCTGTTCTTTTGAGGAAAGAAATATTGAGAAAAGGTCGTAAAAAAAAGTTGGATAAAAAAATGAATAATAATATATGGATAATAATAAATAAATCTCAATGAAATATATTAAATTGACCCATTTTTTAAAAATAAACAGCTCTGTTCAAAATGCTCAACACTTGAATGAAATATTTGTCAACGCAAATACGTGCAATACTTGAAGCAACACGCCAATAAATTGTACACGCACATACAAGCATGTGTTTAGACAAGGCAAAACTTGAAAGCAATAATCGCCTAGACATAATAGCATTGGTGTAAACAAAAGACATTTGCAATTATTTCTTGTCAAGACTTGCATTCAATAATCGCATTCAATTATTTTTACTATATCTGCGTGATGCTTACAATTCTTGATGGTCAATTATTGCGTGCAACTTATTGCATTCAATTATTGTTCTTGTATGTACAAGAAAATTGCATCGTGTAAATGGACCTTTATACTTCCACTCTACGCCGGTCTTCTGTGAGGTAGTGGTACCCGGACGAGTCTGCCCATTCGTGCAAAAGCCGAGACTGCTACTTGCCCCTACCACCGATAAATCTTTTGATGACCGAATCTAGAAGATTTATCTAAACACAATCTATATATTCCTATATGAAACCGGTACAGGAAGTCTGTTTTCAATTAGCATTCGCTTGCCTGCAAGTGGGAAATTTATCGATATCTGTACATCTCTGATTTGACAGCTTCCGTCTCTTTGCTCTGAGTGAGCTCTGGGAATCTGAATGTGGCATCGTGCCTTAAGCCCAAGTCCTTAAGAGCAAATTGTGAATATTTTTCCAAAGAAGCCAAAATCTTGTGATGTCCCATTTTTTAACCTTTCTTCTTCATCCGTTTATTAATGGCTTCTTTTTGAGTTATCACAATTCCGCCAATTTCAAGTGGTTAATCAATTTATTAAAAATTAATAAGTGTACATGATTTGTAAAAATTGAATCGGCCATTTTGTCTACCTTGTAATCTTTCGACCGGGCGTTAACGTGCTAGGTTGGTGTATGTCACTATCCTAGTGTTGTAGTTGACAGTTATTAATCGTGCCAGGTTAATACTTTACTGTTAAAGCCGGTTTTATATAGTGGTTTTTACGGTTTCCTGACTTTTACTTTTCCTTTTGTATATGTAAGTTGTCAGTTGCTTCCTGAAATATTTACTATAGTAACTTGATTGATACGAGCAAGTTCATTTGGCGATGTTCAATTAGAATTGCTAGAACTTTTAGTGTTTCTAAATAATGTTGCTATATTAGTTTTAAACATGTTTGCAAATGTATATTTTTATAGATTTTTTTTTTCATTACGATTATATAATGTTCTTGATTAGTTTTATGATAAATATTGTGCGATGTTTGATTGCTGTCTATTACATTTATGTAATAATGTAATTACGGTAAAATTTTTAAATTTCGAATCAATTCAA